TTAAATGGGAACGGGTACAATAACAATAACATGAAGAAATCGCGAAAGCGCTCATCAGACATATTCTTGAATTCATCAAGAAAAGCAATCTGATGGGATAGAAACTGTGAGGGGTACAATAAGCCTAGAGCTTCAGTACAAGTGGGCTTTGAACCACTCCCTAATTCAGATAGATAGAATCACTTAGTATGTCAGTAGTCAGTTTATCTGTTCAGTATGGTAAATTGAAAATTAGGTGCGTTCGAAAGAACACATTTTAAATAATAATGTTGTTTAGGATTTTTTGTTAGATAAGTGTGAGGGTGATTGCATATCAGGTGAGATAAGAGAAAGTTATACAGTTATACAGGACTGTATTGGATTTTGGAATTAATTAGGTATAGTAAGTTTTTTATTTTTGAGTTTTTGTTGGAAAAAACTGTTTATTTTAATGATAGTTAAAAAAGTGTCAACTTAGGATTCACCCTGTATACCTAGGTAAAATTTAATTATAAACAGTAGTTTAATCTCCTACTTTAATCTAGTACCAAATACTACTAATCTGAAAATAGGTATGCAGAAAAAACATTTATGCTGTATTCAAATTATGTTAAAAGTCGAGTAGACACATCCCAATTTTTGATAGATACGTGGTTTAATAAAGTTAAAAAAAATTAAAATTTAAACTCAAATTTGATATAGTCATAATGGGATATGATTACCTAAATCATGTCCGGATACAGGAAATATTATTCGATTGTCAAAAATTTAAAGAAATCCTGAATCAACTTTTTTTTCATACCTACCTTTATTATACATTTTCTAACAAAGTGACCTAATATTTAGTCCTATATAGTTAGTTCCATCTTTATGAACCACCCTGTATCAGAACGACGTTGAAAACTACTGTTTTCCTTTAGTTAACGACTGTTTTTTTCGACATTTAAATGAATTTTTTAAATTTATTTAAAAATTCTCCAATTCTAACAAATTTCAATAAACGCTGTATGATTTAATAAACTTAATAATTATGCATACCTATAATTAAATTTTATAATACTTTTGTTCTACTTTAATCATACAACGAGCAACGAGCAGGTTATTTTGCTGAATCACATAAGAAATTGCACAATCCATTGGCGTAGTCTCATAATTAAAATGGAAATTACAATGACTTTCTTTAAAAAAAAAATAATTTATGGACAGAAACACTCTATTAAGTAATTTTTCCACCATCGATCCTTTTTGTTAGAATTTATAATTTCTGTTTTACTTCTGTATTTATCAAAATAAAAATACACATTTTAAAGTTTTATTATTTTGAAAATTGTTGTAATTTTTTAAACAGTCAATACGAAGAGATACATTTTTTTCTAGGTACAACTTTTATTCATCAAAGGATTTCTTCAAGAAAGTTGAAAATAGTGACGTTGGAATTAACATATCTAAGTCTATAAAACTAGGAGGATAGAGGAAAAGAAGTTCATAAGAAAAATAGAAGATATATTAATAAAGATCTACAAAAACTAGAGGAACTAGTTGAAGAAATAAATGATGAAAAAGGATATACCCATACTTTGTGACAAAAAAGATATTTTAGAACAGTGAGCGAAACATTTTGAAAAGCTACTGTTGAAGATTCAGAAAATGATGAATATGAAATCATAGAAACTGCCGCTAGCCAGTGAGAAGTAAACCGACAGCATCTATGGAAATCATTCTGAACCTCCCACCTTTTGACCTAGTCATAAAGAGGAGGCCAGAATGAGTGCGTACAGACTGGATCTCCAACAACTGAAACCCACTAGGACATATAAAACATGACATAAATGTTCCTATATTAAACATGGGATCAGATCATATGACACCCCGCTTAACCTTCAACAGACTTTTCCAGGTCGAGGTAAACGAGGAGGTAGAGAAATATGCTTAGGGGCCTTGTATGGTGTGCGGATGGATCTAAAACTAACAAGGGAACAGGCTCTAGCGTGCAATCAAATTGTGAGTACCAGATAATTTAAAAGGAAGTACAAAAAACAAACGATCTTAATTCTTTCAGATCGCCAAGCAACCTTAAAGGTCCTTTGTTCAAACATATACAAGTCAAAGGTGGTCTGGAGGGACCAAACCCACCCATGGCTGCTGAGGTATTACAGCTCACAATGCCTCAAATATTCACCGTTGTAGGATTACTAACGGGACACTGCTTACTGAAACACCTTCATGTGATGGGATTACACAATGATCGCGTACTTGGTAGGGAACTAAAGGCACAGGCACGGGCAAGGGACTATTCTAAAGATAGTACCTGAATATAATGCATACAGGGGAATAAAATATACCCAAGAGGCCGCAGTGTTCTAGGTCCAATCTTATAGCCGACAAAGATAAAGATACAGTAATAATTTAAAATAAGAATTACGTATGGCGCCAAATTGAATTGTTCGTCAATGGTGATAATAAGGCCCGTATTTATAAATTGAAATCAGGTGAGTCGGAATCTAGGTGGTTCTATTTTAGAGATAGGTAATTGTTAAGTACATTTATGGATTTGTTACTAACCCTTTCTAAATTCCTGCCATATAGTCGAACTACGATTTTCGTTCAAAGACGAAATCAGCCCAGTCTTACCCACTTTAGTTCTATCTACAGATGCAGGGCTTATAGTTTTATTCGCTGGGGCAATATCGTGCGTTCTGTAAAAATACATTATTACTTCTGTTTTTGAATATGCAAATAACTATTATATAATGTCTGAATTCGATTGAGAGAAGCATAATAATTATAAACATACCATTATAGATAAAAAAAGAGCAATTTTTAATAATTTTCTCATAAAAAATATCCTCCTTGTATTAACTTTTCACTCCGCTAGTTACGCCATTGATTGTCACATTAGTTCATTATATATAACCTTGGTTAAGTTCGGGAAAAAATCTGTTATGTAATTTCTCCTTTCTCTCACGTTTAGTTTCGTTCATTCTGATAAAAGTAGTTAATAATTATATTAGTAATTACAATGAGATAAAAATATTAATAAGAGAATAAAATAATAATATTCATAGCTCAAATGTAATATAAAACATTTTTAAACTGAAGTAAAAAAAATAAATCGTTGAGCGCTCAAGAAGCCCAATAATGCAAAATTTATTTATTTAAACATTTTTTTAATTGATTTTCACTAATATATTTAATTCAATTTATTTTTATTAAATACAACTACTTTATATGTATCTTTTATTTACATTGACAACATTCATTTGAAAAAAATGATATATTAATTTGAACTGACCTCTAACGACAAACTTAGGCTACTTTTATTCATGGTCTTAAGTTTTTATTTACATTTTCAAGGACATATGATTTTCCTTCAAGCCTGCTATATAAGTGATCCTCCTTTCCAGTAATCCTCTGTACTTCATCAGAGGACGGTTACGATAATTTTACTGCTGTATTTCATACAGTATCGGTCCACCAGATTTCTAATCTAAAACAACCGCCTATGGCGGAACCCGAAAGGGTAGCCACAAATACTCCCACATCCAGCATTCAAGACGGTCCGAATTTCCTAAACTCTCTATTCTCCAGAAGGAATAAAGGTAGAAATGAAAAGCTGTCGGAAGAAAGAACTCCCCACAGCAGAGCCCTCGGAGTGAAAATAGCAGCTGTAATCACCCATACCGACATGTGAGTACCCTTAATCCTAGACTTATTGCCAGTACATCAAGATCCAGGACCAGAAGGGACTCCCCGGAAATTTTTTCCCGAAAAAAAGTTTGGAGAAAAATATCTTCGACAAAAGCATTGACAATGAGCCAGAACCAGACTCTAGCCAAACAAGAAACTCGTCGCGTGATTCAAAATCTGTAGCAAATGAAAGTAGGGAGAAAGGTGAAGAAGACAAAAGTAACACATACTCTCCAAAAATAATTCGGAGAATGTAGGACAGAAAATCGCGCCATCGTCAAGCCCGGTCGACTCTCCAGATAGTGAAGACAATTTCGGTAATTTCGAAAATCTCGAGAATTCCCCATTAAACAATACGCTCGAGAATATCGCTGATTTCGGTAGTGCGACAGAAAAAGACATTAAAGCCATCATCGACACCGCGGCACAGACAATAGACAACCTAATAATCGAAAGTGCGTTAAATGCTGAGAAAAGTCTAAGTGAAATTGTAAACGAAAGTTCGGAGAAAAACAAAAACGTATGGAGAATCCTAAATATTCGGCATTCGCATCGAGAATCGACACAACAAACTTCATTCTGTAATAGCTACTGATCAATGGCTGTGAAGATCACGCCCGCATCGTAGATAGCCATGAATTTCATGATTGACAGTTCTACGCGACGTAATATTATTTAGTTTGAGTTTTCTTGTATAAAGATAAGCGGCGTTTGTTAAGTCGAACTTAAATTCAAAAGTGGGTGAATATACTGATTGTGATACGGAATTTAATAATACTCCTCCTGAACTGACAGATTATGCAAATGATTTAAGTAAAAATTTTCCCAGCAGAAGTTAGATTACATATTTCATTTTCTTTAAAGAATCATTTTACTATATTCAGCTTCTATGACTATGGCCGCGGAAAAAGAAAAAGTCAGTTACTCTGTAGGAATGAAAATCCGATAATCGTGGTACTTCAAATCTACTTGTTGATGAAATAATAAATTTATTTGGTACTGATTACTAAAAGCACGTTGTTCTGCGTAAAAATCTATAAATCATTTTGGTTTAGTAGCAAAAAGCGACAGGGAATGCCCTGAATCTATAATTTAAAAACGTTGTTAAGTGCAAAAGGCAACAAGTAACGTTGACATTTTAGGCGACTTGTTAGCGTAAAAGTTTTTCTTGATTTTCTCAAATTGTTATTAACCAACCTTAACATGTCGCGATTTGCATCTATAGGTACCCCTCATGTATCGTTAGCTATTTTAAAATTAAAAATATATCTAATCAATTCACAATCTGTTTCTTCGCAGTATTGTAGTATATTATTTTACATTTTATTTCTTACCGTATGATCCACATTATAGTAATTATTAATGTAGAGTAAATTCGCCCACCAATTTTCTCGACAATCATTCCAGTCCCCTCCTGCTACAAGTTTCCATAATGGACCTGCTCCTGTATGGTTAAATATTGTTGCGTAGTAAAAGATGACAAATGCATATACTGGAGTCAATCTGAAATATCAAAATTATAAATTTTATACAAAAATTGCACCATTTTTCACATTAAGGATTAGTATTAATGAAAAATAAATTGGTAGATTTGTCCTGACTGGATATATTTGATTGAGCACGACGTCGTAGGTGTGCTGTTCAAACGTCTGAGTGGGACTTAGGCGATCCACTCGTAAACACGTACAGTTACAACATTTACAACATTTACAACATTTACAACATTTACAACATTTACAACATTTACAACATTTACAACATTTACAACATTTACAACATTTACAACATTTACAACATTTACAACATTTACAACATTTACAACATTTACAACATTTACAACATTTACAACATTTACAAAATTTACAACATTTACAACATTTACAACATTTACAACATTTACAACATTTACAACATTTACAACATTTACAAAATTTACAACATTTACAACATTTACAACATTTACAATATTTACAACATTTACAACATTTACAACATTTAAAACATTTACAACATTTACAACATTTACAACATTTACAACATTTACAACATTTACAACATTTACAACATTTACAACATTTACAACATTTACAACATTTACAACATTTACAACATTTACAACATTTACAACATTTACAACATTTACAACATTTACAACATTTACAACATTTACAACATTTACAACATTTACAACATTTACAACATTTACAACATTTACAACATTTACAACATTTACAACATTTACAACATTTACAACATTTACAACATTTACAACATTTACAACATTTACAACATTTACAACATTTACAACATTTACAACATTTACAACATTTACAACATATATTCGTACAAGGAACGTGTAATATGGTTATAATAAAAAATATAGTTTTTCTAATTTTGACATATCAAGTGACATTTTTTGTAATCGCAGCAATTATCAAAATGATCTACTTTACGCAACCAGTTACATAATGTTGAATATTATGAAACTGGTTTCGATAAATTCATTACGTCACCAGTTGCGAAAAGAAAAGAAATAAAATGAACCTTTTTCGGTTTTAAAATTGATAATACACATTATTACTGAAAGTTTATATTAAAGAAGGCAGAGTGGGTGACTTATAAAAATAGAATTTGGATAGACTTACAATCTCGCAATGATGTTTTGGTCCTTATTTTTCAGTCCAAATCAGCACAAAATAATTAAAACAGAATACACAACAAAATAAACCACTTTTTTGAAAACTAAATAAATTTAATAAATAATATAAACGTACTGCAAGTCGTTGAGAATAAATAATTAATAATGATGTTCTAATCGTGATTCTAATTACATGATGCATATGCAATCTAACAATGCAAGAAAGTAATATTGGTTGCCTAAATGTCAGTAATATCTATCTACTCGTCCCGCTGATATTCACACGTATTTTGCAACTGGTTTCATAAATAGTTATTAACTAACATATTTGTTACTAATATGAAATTTTATAAAGAATAGTTATTTCTTTTAAAATTAACGAAATTAACATAAATACTTATATCCGCAAATTTAAATTGGTAGTTTTACATTCAAAAACTATTTTCAAAGAAATAGAGAACATTATTGTCTGCGCTACTCCTTTTAATACCCACTTTCTGACAACTTTCAATAAACAGATTATAAAATTTTAAATAAAAAAATACGGTAGGTGTAATCAAAATAATTTATTAAGTTATCTTCTTTAAATAATTATTTCCAAGAAATTTAATTACCAATACAAAAGATTTTGCATTTGTGAAATAGCCTTGAACACCTATAACATTAATTGCTCCATATTGATTGAGATAAATGACAAAGTGAGTAAGCCAAGACAAGAAGAATGCATAATTAAATTTAAGTTGTGTTTGCAAGTGCGATTTTTTAATTTCATTTAATTTTCGATTCGACTTGCAATATTAATTATATAATTGTATAAATATTATAGTAACAATGTTGGTTATTTCCAGAGATAACAAAGATATAATCATTCATTTATAAAATATAATATTCATGATGCCAAGATTAATTCGACAATCGATACACTCTATTTGTAGGGACGGGGCGAGGAGACGAAAGGTGAGAAGTAAGAGAAGGGATAAAAAGAAAAATTTTACGTAGATACAACTTATTTTTATCAGTGAATAAATGTGTAAGCCGCTGTGCGCTTATAATAACGTAAATATCCATACCGGTGTAAGCCCTGTTGCCACTTCTAACCTAACATGACTAGGTTTTGAAATTTATTGAAAATTGTTACATCTAATTTTGTGAAATTACATCTAATTTAGTTAAATTTAATATAACAAATGATTCAAAATTTTTTGGGTTCAGTTGCAATAAAATAGGTTGAATTATTTTTAATATATATAAATAATTTTGTAAACAAAACGAGAATAATGAATATGACAACAGCGGATATTATATTCAGGACCGCAAGATATTTGTTAATAGTTACATCTCCTCGTTATCTCTGGTTATTCCTATTAATCCTATTAGTGTGAGTGGGCGGTTTAGCGAGTACCATAAATCATCCGAGAGAGAGAGAGTAATAGCTATTACTGAGCTAAATACTATTCTTCTTTTATAACGGTCCCATACATAATTTAAATATTATTTATATTAATCCCGGTATAAAATATAGTGCGTCTATAAAGCCATCCCCTGTTATTTTCGAAACGAATTGAGACATCGATATGTGACAAAAACAGGATTAAATTGTGACAAACATTTGAGAGAGAAATTTATTAATATTAATCGAAAAATAAAAACATGCTATAAAATACCTTTAATAAGAACTATTACTTGACCCTACGTCCTATTTCAAATTTATGATTTGACAGGCGTGTCAAAATGCAAATTATAAAAATTCAATCTTTCACGAACAGATTTAGTATTTTATTGTAATCTTGAAAAAAATGGCAATATTACTGTTAAAAAATAACAAACATTTTTTCACAGACATTTAAGTTACTCTCTTTATAATCCAAATAATCCACTCCGTATAAATAATATATAATAAACATAATCGCCTAAATATAGGGTTCTTTCTTATGGAAAATTTCCAGTAATTTAAGTACAAGTGCTAACTGTCTGAATTATTTTATAAGGACTCAATAATGGAAATTACATTTTGTGATTGGACAAAAAAATTTAGTATTGATTTATTTTTAAGTAATCCCTAAATTATAAAAAATATCTATACTTAAATGAACATTTATTTCTAATTAATTACTTGGAAGAGTCAAATGGAAATCTTCTTTTAATGAGGAGATATTGCCCATTATAAGCTTTTAGTTAAGTTCTCACCCTGTATACTAATACATAAAAATATTAAATATTATGTTATTTTAGGTAAAAAAGCAGTTATTAACATTTTACTTTTTACTGCTACTTGTTTAGTTGATTTACATGAATGACATTGTACCCTGGGTATCCACATATAATTCAGTACATTCACTAGAATACAGATTTCATCAAAATGAATAATTCATGATTTAATTGACTACATCAGCAATCGTGATAATAAATATAAAAGTGAACCATAAATAAAATGAACGTGCCAATCTATTAGTTCATTCAGAAATCATAATCATCCAATATCCGTATATTTAAAAATATTGTTATTTGTAATTCTAAATAGAAATAATTATTTTTATTATGGCTTCAGTTTAAATTGATTATAGTCACGAAGTAATCAATCCCAATAAAATCAAGATTTTAATGTAACTTAGCGGTAATTGATATTTTTCATCATTCAAATGTTTACAGGAATTAACAATATTCTTGTTAGCTAATAACATCTTTCTTCGATATGAAACTACATATTTTAATAGTTAAAAATTCTATTGCTTATACGAATAGTTCCAAATTATATTAGATAAATTAATAAAACATTAAAACATAATTTACGTTAAATAGAAACCAAAATAAAACAGTCTGGTTGTAATAGCATGAATTTATGTTAAAAGAAGGAGACCAAATTTACAGTCGAACTATATTAATCAATTATTCAATTATTACGCGACCAATTATTTAATCAAATGCAGATTACCCGAAATATAATTCAACTAGAAAGAGAGAAAGCAATAACAGCAGAGAAAATTAGAAACAATGAACGATGAAATTTAAAGATAATCCGAAATTGTTTTACGGTACACTAAAACAACTGGATGAAAAAGGAATACGTCAAGAAGAAAGATAAAGAAAGAAAAAGAGGGAGAAGATATTGACAGAGAAAAAGAAACTATTTTTTGTGACAATATTTTAAAATTTAACACAACCATAAGTTAGACATAAAATAACGGAGGAAGACAATCAAAAGTTACCAAGATCACAAAATAGGAAATCGGTGAGAAAATTGAAAAATATGTGTGTCGGGATCCGAATGGCATCGACTAACGTCTGTATGTTGGAACGTTGTATATTCCAACTTAAAAAAACAACTGTACTCTTTCCTGAATTTAAATAAAAATTTGTAATATATGTAGACACACATTGTAATTTTTTTTATTCGAATAAAACGTCGCCGTTTTTCGGACATAAAACATAAACGAAACGGTGAACTTTTAACCATACTTCAAATAAACCAACTGAAATAATAGTTTGTGCAACAAGAGTAGATATGGACAATCCTCTCGAATTGTACAGTGTATTTTTTCTACGAAACACTAACGAAAATCTACAAATTTAAAAAAATTATTTTAGGTTTTTAAGATAAAATAACTAATTTTAAAATAATTTATGAATTTTACTAATTTATAAAATAAAATAAACATGAAAAAAATATTAATTTAATTGAATCGGTAATTTGAGAAACAGCACATGTCAGTTGTATATCATTTTTGAAAAAATAATAAAAACTCAAAATATGAGAACATAGTTAAAAAAAATACTGTTGAACACTTAGCTTTTAAAACTTATTTCGCGTATAATAAATACAATAATTATTTAAGCAAAAAAAAAATCGATAACAAATTATAGTTGA